GGGGGACAAGGGGGGTCTCGTCACGAAATCACAAAGATCATTTTTAGATTTCACGAGTCACGAAAAACAAAATTTCATTTTCACGAATAGTTAGAAACACAGAAGCGTCACAAAGTCTGAAACCATTTAACGATTTTCTAGACAGCAAAAATCGTTGTTAACACAAACAATTTTTACTGACTTTAACATTTAGGGGCTTCGGTTGCCAAGTGGTTAGCGCACTTGCCTTTCACCTCTGAAGCTGCAGGTTCGAATCTCACTAAGTACCTTCTCAATGCGACTCGAACCCAGCCCTCATGTGAAAAGAGTAAAAGTCAACGCTCTGCCGAAAGCAGTGGGTTTTCCCCGGGTACTCCGGTTTCCTCCCACAGGGAAAGTTGACAGGGTGGGTTAGGTAAAAAGGGCCCACAGTAATTGGTATATGCTGTTGTGGTGACCCTGCCCTAGTTGGCAAAGCTAAATAAATAAATAAATAAATTAACATTGGAACTTTTAAAAGGACTATGGAAATCATTGCGAGGCATTACGAAACATTACGAGCGTCTTACGATCGATAGTTCACGACGTCTACGAAGAGGTACGAAGGTATAAGACAACAACGTTTACGATGGAACGAAAAAATCTCGAGAAAGACAACCGCGGGAAGCAAATTTTTCATTTTTTAAACCTTAATATTAAAATTGGGCCGAGTTTTAAACGTAAACATTCACAAGTTAGGGTAAAATATTGGTAAATTCAAGACCCTAGCTAGCCTTTTTAGCTCTTCACGATTCACGGCACGCATATTAATCACGATTCACGGAATGGTATTTCTTCAAATCACGAATCACGAAGCATGTATAATTGCTAATCACGAGTCACGAAAATACCCTTGCCCCCCCTCTATGGTGGACCAACCCATATTTGATATGCGGCTGTCTAAATAGTTCTATCCAGAATGTTCGCCCCAATAATGAACGACGTCTAAAGGTTCAATGGTCGAATATTCCTATTGTCGTTACTTTAGATTTGCCATGTTTTTCATGTCATATTGATGAATACTGCAAATACTACCGTTTATTAATAAAATGTCTTCGTCACTGTTTGCACACGTAATTATTTGTAACATTCTGTATAATTACTCTGATGATGATTTTAAAAACTCAATGTTCGGTTTATCATTCATTTTGTTATTATTGCAAATACGGTTGTGGCAATGCCCAAACATCCTCGTCAGAACAATGATTTCAATATGCTTTGCTGGATTTGGTTGGATTCAAATCGAAATTGGAGTGGCTGCAATATGCAATGGCTGATCGCCACTGGGGATGTACTATACACATAACCTGGTGTTAGAAGACAGAATAAAATAATAACAAGACTACAATTTAAATCCATGTCTTTTAGTAACGATGCAACAAAGTTTACAAACTCACCAGACCATATTCTTTTGTATTTCGTCGGTTTTTAACTCCTCCGTAATAACCTTCAATCTAAAAGCAGGCGGTGATATTTGATTTCTCCGGGGGAAATACGGGGTTGAAGGTTATTACGGAAAAATAATAACCGGGTAGCAGGTTATTACGGAAAAATAATAACCTGCTAGTCTGCTACCAGGTTATTAGGGACGGACCATTAGAAAAGTGATGGGGGGGGGGGGGGAAACCAATTTATTTCCAGAAAAAAACTAAGAAAAAAAAATCTTCCCAGGCATAGTGCAAAAAAAAAATTCCTTGCTTAGAAGATAGGTCAAGTGGTGTAGTGGAGGGAGGGCTCGAGGGTGCTTAGCACCCCTTGTTAAAATTTCATGTTGACTTGGAGGGGCTGAGCCCCCCTATGTTTTTGGCGCGTTGCATAATCTTAACAACGTCAAAAACACACACAAAAATATCAGTAAACGAGAATGTTCTTTAGAATTGTATCTCATTTTCAGTCATCATTTAACACAATAATGATTTTTGTAATCTTTATACTGCGTTGTTCATGCGCCGTAGCAAATTGGCTGTTGAAATACCGATCCTGTTTTGTCTGATTTAAACTCTATCCAGGGCTGTATCAACGGGAGGAGCTTGGGGCTGCAGCCCCCCCCCCCCCAATAATTTGCTAATAATCATTCTTTTGACAAAATCATGTGTCCTCTAGCGTTCGTCAGCAGGGTGAAGAGACATTTTGCCTGAGAGAGCAGGCAGCACTCGTTCCTACCGCGGGCAAGGCACAGGTTAGCTCACCGCCCCCCATTGCAAGTATAG